GTTAGCTTTAAACAGAACCTCCTCCTACCTGATAAAATGCGGCCCCGAATTGACACATTGCCAGTGAAAGGACATTTTTTGTCAATGTATGTGCCTTCGATGGCCTGGATGCAAAGAGAGAGTTATCAGAACACAACCAAGGAAGGAGACAACACAAGCACAATGAAGGGCCCCCTTTCTCCTCATACAATTATAGCAATAGTCCTCCCTGTTAAGACCTCTCCCCATTTCTTTCCCAGCCAGCGACAATCTGAAAGGAGGGCTGCTTCTCAGCCTGCCTCCTAATGTAGTCCTGTTCTCAGCTTGACTTCAGCTGATGATGGTAATGAAATTATCACCGAAGGGGTAAAACCTACATCTGGGCTACTACTTCAGCCCGGAAGTATGTGTGTGTATCTACACTGATCTTACATCATAGAAACTTCCTGCAAAACCCGCCCCCACAAATCCTTGTTTAGAGAAAAGGATCATGGATGAAAAGGCCAAGCAAGAACCTTTCTCTCTGATGCATTTCCTGCACCTAACAGTAATGTATCTCTTGGAAGTAGGCACATCCCATTATGTGGATGCTGCCGATAGCAGAGCAGCCCAGAGACAGAAAGGTCTGCCACCTTGATGATAAAATCATATCCTAGATGCAAGAGGCTGCTGTATGAAGAATTAGCCAGGCCTCTTGCTTTTATGCACATGAGCTGACGTCAGTAAGGTCCTATTGGACACTCTCGTCAAAGCCCCTTCACCATTGGGGCTTGGAAGACCATCGTGAGAATGTACATCATACGTCAGCAAAGGGAAACTATCCTACTGTTTAAACATTTGGCCTAATGACTCCACCACATATAGTAATTATTTTGAGCATACAGGTTTGTACTCAAGTTTCCACAAGGGAAGGTATAAAAGCGGAAATGTAGTCTACCTTTGTGTATAATTTTACAAACTTCACAGGGCTTAACAAGCACCCTCCCATTGGCCCAAACTGCCTTCTAAGCTCAATACCTCTTTGGGGGTCTTGAAGCCCAGACCAATGTTCTTGTAGTAGCGGGGGAGTTTCTCTTTGCCAGTCTCTCCCAAGAGCACACGTTTTTTGTTCTGGAAGATTGTGGGCTGCTTCTGATACGCCCTCTCAGTCTGCATGTGAGAAAAAAGGAATAAATGAGTTTAGAAAGGAAGAACATAGACTAGATCTGTTAAGGGTCATTAGCAGATGAGCAGCTTCTGTGGGTCTTGCAGAGTCCACAGGCAGCTTCTTTGGCTCTTCTGTCTGGTAGGATACACTAGATAACAGACCACTGTATTTTAATGCTTTGTTGGAAGCCGCCCAGAGTGGCTGGGGAAAGCCCAGCCAGATGGGCGGGGTATAATAAATTATTATTATTATTATCATCATCATCATCTCATCAGCCACCGTGAGAGCAGGATGCTGGACCAGGTGATCCCTTTCCGGCCTGATCCAGAACCCTCTTCTCATCCTCTTACAGGAAACACAGGAGGGGAGAGCACGTGTTGTGCCCGATTTCCAGCTCCTCATAATGGGCTGCAGCGCTGCCCCCCCCCGGCCTGATTCTGCAGCAGGACCCTCCTTCGTCGTGGTCTTAGGAAGGGGGTCAAGGACCGTTTCCTAAGCCGGGATTTTGGGGGTGGGGTCTCGACCTGCGGGCCACGAGGGCGAGCAGAGCAGCCTTGCAGGGCCGCCTGAGGCAAGCGAGGGCCGGTGGCGAGGCCCTCCTGCTGTTGAGGGAAGAGGCCTCGGAGGCCTCAGGGCGGGAGAAAGCAGGAGCCCCCCTCCCCACCCACTCAGCCCCCCACCAATTAACCCCCCCTTAAAGTAGACTGGGACCCCCCCCCCAGCCGCCCCCTTCCCCGTTTCTAGGGGACCCGCAGTCTCTCCCCCTCCCACCCCCCGTCACGGGGAGCCGCTCCGACCTGCGTGTCCGCCATCTTGGCCGCGCGAGGCGAAAGGAGGATGCGCGGGGGATGACGGGAAACTTATCGCCGTGAGGGGGTGGGGCGGGGAGAAGGAGCCGCGGGAAGTGACGTCAGCCGAGCTCCTCCGTCCCGACCATACAGAGCAGCGGGGGAGGGGGGAGGGGGAAGAGGCGGGCGGACTAGCAGGCGGAGCGAGAGAGGAAAGGAGCCCGTTCGCCCCGACGTCATCACGTTGAGCGAAGGCGGTTAGGAAGAGCGCTCAGTTTTGCCCCGCCCCCTTCTTCCCTAAGAAGCCGCGGCGGCCATTGCTGTGTGGGGCGCCTGCGCGCGCAGCACGGTCACCAGGCGCGGGAAGGCGGAGTGGGGGGAGGGGGCAGAAGAACCTGAGGAGAAAAATATTTCTCAAAAAAACCCGTTTAAATGCTGGTGAAGAGAAAATTTTCCCACATTTCCTTTCTACTCGTAAAAGTGGTCATAGCAGCCGCTCCTTCATTTATTTTTAGTTATGTATATTTAGGCGATGCCTTTTCCGCCGCTTTGCGTGAGAGGAAAGTGAGGCGTTTCTGTCGCCTCGGTGGGGCCACTGCCCAAAAAAGAGGCCTCCCTCGACCCTCCTGAGGGAAATTTACATGTGTTATTTCTATAATAAATAATATTGGGGGGGCTCAGGGCAGCTTTGAGCGAACGGAAACGCCACACAGTTCGGTTTAATTTGGCATCGATTTGGAAAACTTCACAAATTTTACCTGGCGAAAGAAAATAATGAAAACCGCGCGGGTGAAATGCAGCTGTGCTAAAACGCAGAGAAGGTGATGGTTAAAAACAGAATTAAAATGGTGGGGTAGGGGAAATGCAGGTCCTAAAATTAAGACAGAACAAAACACTCCCTTTGCCAGCCTGCGGCTCTTGCTGTTGCCAAGTCAGCACTTAAAAAAAAACCCAATGCTTGCTTATTTTATTTAGCTCATGACATTTATGCATTTCTCAATTGGGGAAAAAAATTGCCAGCACCTCAAAGCAGTTTACAAAACAAAACCAAAAAGCCTAATAAAATAATTAGCAAAAACAAAACATTTTTTAAAAAATGTTGGCAGGAGTTTAAATGTTTGTTTTATTTAGTCCATACATTTTATATACCACTTGATTGTAACAAGCAAACCTCAAAGCAGTTTACAAAAACACCCCGTAAGAATATTGCTAAAAACCATTAAAACTTTTTTAAAAAAGAAATGTAAATTGAAAAAGGCTGAAGTGGGTTTATTGTTTTTGGATGGAGCCAGGATGCAACGTTGGCTCCCAGGTGCCCATAATCTCAGAGGTCAGGATGTCCCATCCGCCTTCGTCCAGCTGCCAGCACATCTGTAGGCTCTGGTGAAGGAGACTTTTAAGTCTTTTACGGTCTTTTTGAAATGCATCCTTGTGGAACTTAACTACTGTACTATGTAAGCGTTTTAAAATAAAACTTTTGAAAAGATAACAATAGACTAGAAGCAAAACATTTAAACTTGACCAGCTTTCTAAACATCTGGAGAGGCTCGTCCAGACAAAAATGTTTTTAGCAGAAGGTGGAAAAGAATACAGCATGGTTGTCTTGAAACTTCTGTGACAATACTGGAGGGGGAGATTATGCTTTCTCCTTGGAAGCATGTAGGCCAGCAGCCCCAGGAGCATGTGGCCATTCATTTGTTTGGAAATCCAACTACAAAAGCTTTTTCCAGGTCTTGCCACCTCCTCAAAAGCTTTTGAACACACAATGTTTGATATGTGGTGATGATGGGAATCCCCTGTATGAATTAGAACCATATGCAGTTTCACCTAACATACATATTTTGCTAAGCGTATTTCCCCTGATGTATCTTTGTAATTTATTTTCAGTGATGTATGCATTTGCTCACACACTTTCCCCAGTACATGCATTCTTATACCCATAACTTGGTTGGAGAAATGCATTGCAAAATCTGGAGAAGTGTGAATTTTGAAGGGTGTCTGCTTTTCAGATCTTTTTTTGTGTGAACTGCAAGTTATTTAGGTTAGCCTTTAGATGCAAACTGATTCGAATTTCTTCTCTATCCCTAGGCCTAGTGACATATGCCCTGGTATGTGCGCCTGGAGTTGGTGCAGAACGCTGAGTTCGTGAGTGGTGAGTAGGGCCGTTTACCAGGTACATATATCCATGCTAAAGGATCTACACTGGCTGCCTGTTAGTCAGCAAGCCAGTATTAAGGCCTTGTGTGTGTGTAAGCCCTAAACAACTCTGTACAAGTTGTTGTTATTATTGTTATTTATTATCCTCTAAACCACTGTCTCAATTTAAACACAATATAATTAAATACAGGCAAAAACACAATGAAGTTTTGTGGTAAAGATCCATTTATCCAACTGAGAATGTCTGTTGGAACAAAAATGTATTCAGTCATTTTCAGAATGTGCAGATAGCAGGTACCTTTTGTTACCTTCGAAAAGTACCCTATTCCACAGACCAAGGACAGCCGTTCTAAAAGCCTTGCTCTGAGTTGAGGCTTTTGAGATCTTTGAAACTTGCAAAAGAAACTCTCTTGCAGACTACAGTGATCTACTGTGTGGATAAGAAATAACTCTCAAGTAACCTGGTCCTGAGCTGCATAAGGACTTGTGTGTTAGGACCAACACCTTGAACTATCTGGAAGATTGTATTCCCCTCCGGTACCTGCTAAAGGGGATTAAGATCAACAAATGGAATTTGACAAGTCTTGTCTTGACCTACGGTAATCATTGTTTGTTTTTAGGGGACACTGGTGGCCCTGGTGTAATAGAATGCACTCCCTGTTGAAATACAAGAGACCCCTTGTGTGTTGGCACCTATCTGCACCTGCCTTCCCTTGATCTCTCAGCCAGTCTCTCCTGCTTTAATTACTGTGTTGTTTTAGTGCACATTTTAATTATGGGAATTTTTAAAATGTTCATATACTTCATAAGAGATATGATTCTGGGTCCAAGACCAAGAGCGACTGGATTTGTGTCCTTTCTTTTTTCTTTTTGGCATTCACTGCCCCACCAGTAAGTGTCCAGATGCGTCACTAGCCTCTATTTTCTTTTTAGGAGACATCTTTTCTCCTCAGGAGTAAGCCGACCACCTTGTCACGGATCAGCTTGGTCTTCACACCATAGACGATGGGATTGCAGAAGGGAGGCACCAGAATATAGAAGTTGCCGATGAGGATATGAATGTAGGGGGCCACATTGTGGCCAAAGCGGTGTGTGAGGAAGGAGAAGAGGGCAGGTGTGTAGGCCAAGACAATCACACAGATATGGGAACCACAGGTGTTGAAGGCCTTGGCCTGGGCTTCCCGAGATGGCAGCCTCAGCACGGTCACAATGATCTTTGCATAGGACACACCAATGAACGTTAAATCCAGGCCCACCACCAGCAAGGCCACGGTCAAGCCGTACATGTTGCTGATCACAGTGCCAGCGCAGGCCAGCCTGACGATGCCCATGTGCTCACAGTAGGTGTGGGGGACCACATTGGTTCGACAGTAAGGCAGCCTGCTGGCAAGGATGGGGAATGGGGCAGTCAGAATGGCCCCCCTGGCAACCGCCAGGCAGCCAATTTTCACGATGGCAGGATTTGTGAGGATGGCCGCATAGCGCAGCGGTTGGCAGATGGCCATGTAGCGGTCAAAGGCCATGGCCAACAAAATGGCCGACTCGATGATGGACAGCGCATGGATGGAGAACATCTGTGTCAAGCAAGCTTCAAAGCGAATCTCTCGTGAGCCGAACCAGAAGAGGCAAAGCATTTTGGGCACAACGGAGGTAGATCCAGCCAGGTCAATGACAGCCAGCATGCAGAGGAATAAGTACATGGGCTCATGCAAGGTCTCTTCCACCCAGATGACGAACATGATGGTGCAGTTCCCCAACACAGTCACCACGTAGATGAAGCAGAGGGGGATGGCCAGCCAGACGTGAGCCGCCTCCAGCCCTGGGATCCCCAGCAGGAGGAAGATTGAAGGGTGGAGGGTGCCATTGTAAGCGCCGCCAAAGGCAGACATATTAGACTGGAGGGGCCTTGGGACTCCTCCTATGGCCTGTGCAAAGGAGAAGCTTCTTGTTAATCTGGAGGTGGGGGAGGCAGGCAACAGTTAAAGGGCATGTTCTGCATCCAGCAAAATTTCACACCACCATTTTGAGGTCTTGTTTCCACCAGCAGGTATAAATTAGCCTGGTTGCTCAACCCCATTCCTGCTGGCAGGAAGAAATACAAGCTTTCAGCATGGCCTAATGGTGAAGGTGGGAAGCGATACAACAGTCGAAAATTTAAGTATTGGGTAACAGCACTCAGGAGTGTGATAGATACTCAGAGCCAATACTCAGATACTAGTGTGCCTGGCTGCCTACATTTAAAGGACGCTAACGTTAATTGAGCATTCAGCGATATTTTCTTCATTTAGTCAAGTAGCAAAATGTGTATAGTTATCTCAGCCAACCCTCCCCCAGCTGCTTCTGCTGTCTCCTGCCTAGTCCTTCCTCACTAGCTGTTCCTGCATTGCAAGGGGTTGGACTAGATGACCCTTGGGATCCCTTCTAACTCTATGTTTCTGTGACACTCTGCAGCCTGCCTCTTCTGCTCCAGGGGAAAGATTTGCTTTGACCTGAGCAACTATTGTGCAAATTTGAATTTTGAAAAATATGCACCTTCTTACTCTGCTGGTATAACAGTAGCAACTGGCGATAAGGCTCTTGAGGCCTTTAACAGCTGGATACCCGGCAAAAGTTCACAGATGCAGCTTTCCCCAACTGGATATGTAAATAGTGAGGACCCATAGTCCAGTTGCTGGGCCCAGGAGTTCAAATCCCCACCTGGCCATGAAACATTCTGGGCGATCTCGGACAAGTTACTGTCTCTCAGCCTCAGCTACCTCACAGGGTTGATGTGAGGGTGAAATGGGGAGATGAGAACCAGGTTCACCACCGTGAGCTCCTTGAAATAAAAGGTAGTATATAAATATAAGAAATACTGCAAGAAAATAAATAAATATGCAGGAAGTCCCAGGCTCAATTCCTAACAACATCTCCAGTTAAAGGCATCAGGTAGCAAGAGACAGGAGAGACATTTGGGAGATTCTGACATGAGATACATCAAAAAAAGAAGTCTCACCCGCTTTGCTTCATCTGCTTTGCCTGTCTATTCCTGGCTTGTTTCTGATGTGATGCTCTACCCTGTGGAATTATCTAGGGGTGTGTGCATGTGGAGAAAGTTAAACAACAAGAAAATCCCTTGTGGATTTTGCACAGGTAATCTGTGGGCTAGATGTCAGATTCATATTGCCAGCTTCTACAGAATCCATTTGCCTAATACTTTATGACATGACATGTCTCTTTTGGGCATATCAGTTATGTGTTGAAAGCTCCCTCATGCTTTTCCTTGGAGAGTACAGTATGCATATAAGATGAGCCCTTCTGGATTAGGGCAATGGGGTCCCAACTAGTCCAGCATCATATTCTTACTGGCCAGTCACATGCCTGTGGGAAAGCTGCAAGAAGGACCTGAGGACCACCTCTCTCACCTCCCGTGGTTTCCAGCACCTGGAATTCAGAAGCATTGCTGCATTTATGGCCCCAGACTTAGCAAGGGGGCTTTCAGCTAGAAGATTAAATTGATGTTTTAACAGCAGCCTTTGCCTCTCAGCGTACACTTCCCTGTATATAAAAGCCAGTCCAGCTTACTTTGCAAGCTGGGTCCAAAGTCTCAGCAGGTCTTCAAGGGAGAATGTATTCTTTCATGCAATTGACTGTAATTCCAGCCCTAAAAAGCCTAATCCCACTGGCTGGGTGAAGACACAGGCTATGGAGATGGTCACCTCTGCCTTCCATGCTGCTTCTGCATCCACCTGAGGGAGTTATCACCAACTCTTATAGGGGAACAGCACCTGGGTGATATAACCTGCCTGGGGCTAAATATGGTCACTCACCTTAGCAGATTGCAGAATCTCCCTTTGAAGAAGTGGCCATGCTGTGCCCAGTGCCCTTGCCAGCCTCTCTAAGATCCGGTGGCGGGAACTGCTGCCAGGTCTTATTTATAGGTCAGTCTGGTCAGCACCCAAGAGGAGGCTTCTAATTCCCTTCAGCCTCCGCCAGTTGCATTCAAAGACCTCTGTGGGCAAGGATGCCTCCCTCTCCCCTCTTCCTTAGATAGCCAACAGGTGCTCTTGGGAACAAGAGTACTTTTTCCAGCATACACACAGACATACTCTTCACTTTCCAGATCAACATTATGATCTAAGTACCTTTGTGAGTGGGGAAGCTCTCCCATCTATTTTCCTACTTAAAATCTCTTCTAACCTGAAGTAGTTCTTCCTTTTATGGCAGTGTTGGGATTTATTTATTAATTTTTTTAAAAACAGGTGCACAAATATAATATGTGGAACATCTGGCTAACTAGTAGTACATGTGAAAAGGATCTAGGGGTCTTAGCGGACCACAGGCTTAACGTGAGTCAGCAATGTGATGCAGCAGCAAAGAAAGGCCAATGCTGTTCTAGGCTTCATCAACAGAATTATAGTGTTCCAATCACAGAAAGTAATTGTGCCGCTCTATTCTGCCTTCGTTAGGCCACACCTGGGGTATTACATCCAGTTCTAGATTACCCTCAGGATCCCTTTCAACTCTGTTAGTGTTGTTTTTGGCATCCGCCTGTCTCAGGCTCCCTTTCATTTTAAGAGTCTTGTGCTCTGGAGATCCTTGTGACCATGACAGGGAATTATAGCAGGTACAATAGGGTTCCGGGTACAGGGATTTCTGAGCTGTCTACATACAACAAATGTTTATTTACTATATCACAAAAAAGTTACACAAAACTTGTAGTATAACAAAAACCATATAAGGGGCTTACAATTCATGTAAAACAGTTGCAAACACATTTTAAAAAGATGAATCTAAATTTGACATAAATACAGCTGCAGAGAGAATAAAACAAATTAAGCATATTCTGTATATTATGGGCTATAGCCAATGCCAGTCCCGCTCAGAGTAGGCCCATTAACCCTAAGTTACTCATGACCATTAAATTCCAGTGGGTCTGCTCTGAGTAGGACTAACATTGGATAAAGCCGTATATACTTACAGAAGCACGAACAATTTCACAGATATGTTGAACACCAGATATAACATCAATAAAGCACAAAAAGACTTTGGGTGGTATTCAGCTAAGTTTTATTCAGAGTAGACCCACTGAAATTAATGGGCCTAACTTAGTCATATTCATTAATTTTGATGGGTCTATTCTGAGTAAGAGTCAGTTGAATACCACCCGTTAAGATGAAAAAACATGGGATTAAAAAAAAGTGCTTACACCCTTACTACTTTTTAATATTTCTTTACTGTCTGCGGCTTTCTACATGTTGCATTCAACACTGCAAGCCCTTATTGAGAGAGTGTTGTTATGTAGGTCGCTTCCTCCTGAGAACTATGTGAGTCACTCGTTCACGGATCTCCTTGGTCTTCACACCATACACAATGGGATTCAGCATGGGCGGGAAAAGGAGGTAGAAGTTGGCCAGAAGGATGTGAACGTGAGGCTGAACGTGATGGCCAAACCTGTGTGTTAAGATGGTGAAAAGAGCTGGGGTGTAGGAGACCAGGATCACCACCACGTGAGGTGCACAGGTGCTGAAAGCCTTATAGCGGGCGTCTTTTGACGGCAGAGCCATGACAGCCCTGGCGATCATGCAGTAGGACAAAGTGATGAACAGCAAATCCACCCCCACTACGAGGAGAGCCACCAGAAGCCCATAGACAACATTGGCAAGGATGCTTGAGCAGGCCAGCTTCACCACAGCCATGTGCTCACAGTAAGTGTGGGGGATGACGTTGGTCTTGCAGTATGGAAGACGGGCTGCCAAGATGATGATTGGGATGATGAAGACTGTGCCTCTCAGGATGACCCCTGCTCCAATCTTGGCCAGCAGTGGGTTGGTTAGGATGGAGTCGTATCTCAGAGGATTGCAAATAGCTATGTAACGGTCAAAGGCCATTGCTACAAGCACTGTCGACTCCATGATGGAGAAGGAGTGGATGAAGAACATCTGGACCATGCAGGCACCAAAATCTATTTCCCCAGCTCGGAACCAGAGGATGCAGAGCATCTTGGGCAGGGTGGAGGTGGAGAGCACCAGGTCTATGCCAGCGAGCATGCAGAGGAAGATGTACATGGGCTTGTGGAGGCTCTGCTCTGTTTTGATTGTATACAGTATGGTGCAGTTTCCTAGCAATGTGATGACATACATTGAAGAAAGAGGGATGGAGAGCCAGTAGTAGGACGCTTCCAGACCAGGGATACCCAGCAGGAAAAAGGAGTAGGGGGTGGCATAGCTCCCGTTAAATACAGACATCACTCATGGGAGGCATGGTGCATGGATAGTCTTGCTGGCTGCAGTGGAGGGAAGAGCCACAAATTGAGACAGCATGTGAACTTTGTGCATCCTCGACAACAAAGGCATTCCCCTGCTAAATAACTTTACAGGTGTCAGTATGAATAGCATAAATTAGGGATTCCCTTAGGTGTAGACTTAGGGAAAGCTAGGCATTACAAGGGTCTGGAAACCAAGCCTTATGAGGAACAGTTGAGGGAGTTGGGGATACTTAGCCTGAAGAAGAGAAGACTGAAAGGTGATATGATGACCATCTTCAAATATCTAAAAGGCCATCTCATGGATGATGGACCAAGCTGGTTTCCTGCTTCTCTGGTGGATAGGACATTACAAAGAGCTTTTCGAAAGAGCTGTCTGTTCAGCAGTGGAATGGACTCTTTTGGAAGGTGGCGGACTCTCCTGCACTGGGTGTTTTTAAAGAGAGATTGGATGGCCATCTGTCAGGGATATTTTGGCCTTTAATTCCTGCTTTGCAAGGGGATGGACTAGATGACCCTTGGGTTACCTTCCAACCTTACAATTCTATGAGTCTATATTTCATTCTAGCAGGCCAAGCCCCTGCTCATTTATGTGGCAGTAAACCCTGTTGAGCTCAATTTTTGCTTTTGTTTTAATTACATTCATATACCACCCTTCATCCAGGGATCACAGGGCAGTTTGCAATATAAAAACACAAAAATACATAATATGGTAAACAGTTGTGCTTACTTGAAAATAATGCATGGAAAAAATTGCTCTCTTAGAGAAATCTTGATAGTGTGGGTTGTACCCGGTGAATTGTGTTTAGTTGCCAGTGAAATCAAATAGCACTTAAGTCATGTGCTAAACTTTCCACATTGGTTCCGGTGGGGCTGAAGCACATCTATCATAATTGACATTTGGTGCAGTGAAGGGCAGCTATGTGTTCTGGGCAAGTGTCTCCCCTATTCTCATATCAAGTGGAGTGGGTATCCCTACAGACACAGCCTTGAGTTGCATGGAAGAAAGCGGGGAGATAAATGTTGTTAGATGCTGCTGAGCCACTTCTCTATTATTGACATTTTCTTCCCACCCCAACAACCCCCAACCCTTGTCATGTAATAATAATAATAATGATGATGATGAAGATGATGATGATGATGATTTTGTATTTGTACCCCACCCTCCCCGGCCGGGAGCTGGGCTCAGAATGGCTAACATCTTATAAATAATACAATATGCATAAAAACAAGCAATCAGTTGATTAAAATGCATCCCAAAATTAATTCAAATAAATTAAAGTTAAAGTTAAAACTGGACAAATAACAATCCTCAGGTTAAAATTGAAAGCGGTTAATACTTGCCAGGACCAATTGTTTCCACTGATATTATAAGGACCTGTGAGCAGGCTGGGAAACCTCCTTTGTGGTTGTTCTTATACAAAGAGAAAATGAGTCAGACTGAACCCTGACCAAAGGCCTGGCAGAACAGCTCCGTCTTGCAGGCCCTGTGGAAGGATGTCAAATCTTGCAGGGCCCTGGTCTCTTGTGAGCGAGCATTCTGCCAGGCCGGGGTCACGTCCAAAAAGGCCCTGGCTCTGGTCAAGACCAGTCTAATCTCCCTGGGGCCCGGAATCTTCAGGGTGTTGTTATTTGCAGACTGTAAGGTCCTCCATAGGACATACCAGGAGAGGTGGTCCTGTAGGTACGAGGGTCCTAGGCCATATAGGGCTTTAAAGGTTAAAACTAGCACCTTAAACCTGAACCTATACTCCACTGGGAGCCAGTGCAGGTGGTAAAGCACTGGGTGAATGGGATCCCGCGGCAAAGACATAGAATAAAACATTTTATCACTGCAGTTGGAGGCAGCAGTGCTTCTGAATGCCAGTTACTGGAAACAGCTATCTGTTTGACCACTGTGAAAACAGGATGTTCTTGCATTTCCTACTGGAACTGTATATATGTATATGTTCCCTTGCACCTAATTCTGGAAATATCCTAACAGAATGACATTGTTCTCTCGGATGCTGTTTGTCGAGTTCTTTTTCGAGGGGAGGGGAGGCAATATTTTCTGGCCATTATGGTAAGTACACCAGTAAATGGGTTCAACAAGTGCATTATCTTTATTCTAAAATTACCCTCTCCTAGAACTTCCTGCACATTCTGCTGGTATATGGCATTTTAAAAAGGCATATTTTATTTACTTACTTTCTTATGCATGCACACAAATACACTTAGTCAATGGGCATGCAATTTTTGATACAGTAATTTTTTAAACAAAATATATGTCATTTTCTGAAATCGTTATTTACTAAAAACCAGCTTACAGAAAGTACAGAGAAAGTAAAATGTTGAGTGTGTGTCCAATATCCTCCAGTGCTTTAAAAACCCCCGACTCACATTCTCCCGGTTGGGGTCTGTATTGTTATTGCATTAAACTAGTAGGCTCACGGGCATTGCTTTGTACTTTAGATTTTCTTTCACTTACTCAGATAGTGCTTGTAAGCCACTTTCCACTTAGCAATGTAATAGGGAGTCCTTGGAGCACCCCACAATCGCCTAACCTTGACTCCCTTAGGTTCAGGTCCGGGTCGCAAGCAACAGACTCTTTGTCTTTGCCTTGTGGTGTGGAGAGGCAAGGCTCGTGGTGGTGATGGTCTCTCACCCTCCCCTTCCAATTTCCCAGTAATAACAAAGAAGTGCCCAAATGATATTTTTACCCTCTAGAAAGAAAGACCCCAGACCATCAAGGTCTGGTGTATTTTTATCCCCGCACTAAGCAATAGCCTAACAAAATCCAGTACAGAACCAAATTATGTGGCTCTGTGCAGTGCTCAAAGGCAAATGAAGGTCCTGGGTGTCAGCCAGAGTAATCCAGTGGTGATACTCACTTCTGGTGCTGAGCAACAGGCGCTTGAAACAAGCATGCTAACTTCACGGGGGCAACAGCAGGAGGAGGAACCATCGGCCTTTGCATGTCCTACCCCTTAGCTGTTCCCTGTGCGAAGCAGGATCCTGGACTTTGGTCTGACACAGCAGACTCTTCTTATGTCTTTATGTGCTCTAAGAGTAGAGGGAGCATTTATGCAGCTTTCTTCAGTGTCGCACTGTGTGCAGATGGCCCCAGTGGTTCTGAAAGCACAAGATTTCCCTCTGGATCAGTAGTTTAGGCTGTTTTCTCTCTTTATGGCCTCCTCTCAGGGTTTCATCATGCATTCACAGCTCTGCTGGTTCCCACCCTCCGATGAAAGACTCAGGCTCCCAACTCAGGAAATCCCAAAGTTTTATTAATGAAATGAGCAGGTGGTCTCGGCATCAGCTCAAAGTACAGGTTACACAGTTGGAAGGGTGCATCAGCAGCAGCTAGGATAGTTGGTTAACGGCATAGGCGCCGACTCCATGGGGCTTGAGGGGGCCCGAGCCCCCTCAAAAATTCGTTTGGGGGGGCTCCGCCCCCCCAATAATCTCCGGCGCCCCTCCAGCAGAGCGCCACCGCCACCCCTCCCCCAGCCCAAAATGCACAGGGAGGGGCGGGCTGCATGCCTCCTGCCCTCCCTCCCGAGCAAAAGCTCCACCCAATTTCCTTTGGAGCTGATTAATAGGCGCAGCACGCTCTCCCCTATTCGCTCACGAGGAGGCGGCGCCACTTTATTTGCATATTCATGAGCTTATTTATTATTCATGAGCTTTCCCGGGCCCCCCCAATATTTTTTATAAGTCCGCGTCCCTGGTTAACGGTAAAGGAACACCTGACATTTAGGTCCAGTCGCGAATGACTCTGGGCTTGCAGCGCTCATCTCGCTTTACAGGCCGAGGGAGCCGGCGTTTGTCCGCTTCCGCAGACAGTTTTTCCAGGTTATGTGGCCAGCATGACTAAGCCACTTCTGGCGAAGCCAGAGCAGCGCACAAAAACACCGTTTGCCTTCCCGCCGGAGCGATACCTATTTATCTACTTTCACTGTGTGCTTTCAAACTGCTAGGTTAGCAGGAGCTGGGACCGAACAACTGGAGCTCACCCTGTCGCGGGGCCTCAAACCGCTGACCTTCTGATAGGCAAGCCTGACGGGCACAGTGGTTTAAACCACAGCGCCACCCGCATTCCTAGGATACATGGTTAGGAATAAGCAAAGACATCCCAACACTTGACACGCCCATTTTGCTGTCCCTTTAAAGGTGAGGAGCAGGGCCCTTTACTTGGGCTACTCTTGTCCCAGGTGGGAAGGTTAAAATTGAAAGCAAACACCTACCTGGGGCAGGGGACTGAATCTGTGCCTGTGCCAATGGTGGTGCATAGTTGCTAATGGGACTGAAGTCCAGCCCTCTGACTTGCCATCACCACTGACTGGCCTACCGGCTCTTCAGCTACAGGAAGAGCCTCTTTCCCACAGGAGGCAGTGACGACAGCCGACCTGGATGGTTTTAAAAGAGGATCAGACAAATTCATGGAGGAAGAGAAGGCTATGGATGGCAACGAGCCAGGATGGCTCTGCTCTTCCTCCACAGCTGGAGGTAATACTTGTTCCAGCAACTGGTATTCAGAACCATTGCTGCCTCCATCTGTGGAAACAGAGCATAGCCAACGTGGCTGGTAGCCTTTTTGATTTATTTTTATTTTTTATTATGACAAAGTAATAATATAAATAAATAAGAATAAAAATGTGCACCTCACCCCAAGACCATTCCATTATAACTATCCAGCCTCCCAAAATTTCAACACCTCTTGCGATGGGTTGACCTTTTCCATTTTAACAGTGCAAATTCTGCAAACACCTTCCATATCTCCTCAAAATCATTTCTGCTGCATATTCCCCATCTTAATAACACATGTTAATTTATCATGGATAGCTATATCCCACACCTCTTTGTAACATTCTTCCATTTTATACTGATACGGAATGGGGGGCATGTCTTCTTCACCTTCTTCTTCGCTACAATATATCCATTTATTTCTGAGTCCAATTGTCAATGTCAAAAGGGACTAAAATCTATAAAATTCATAGAAAATCAACG